CCTGGGGGTTCCCAGCCCCCACCCTCCCCTCCCCACTTGTTCCCCCCACGCCCTGTGCAGGGTGCCTCCAGGCCCTGCCCTTGCTCCACTCGACTCCTCTGAGAGTCACCCTGAACCCTGCCTTCCAGCATCCTGTACCAATGGGCAGATGGCATCTCTAATGGGCACATCCTGCATCGGGGAAGACAGAGAGCTTTTTTTTTTTTTTCCTTTTTGTCTTTTTTCGTGTCCGGCAACGGATCGCAACCCTCAGGGTCGCGCCCGTACCGGACCGGGACCGGCAACAGGATCGCAACCCTCGGTGTTGCGCCCGCACCTCGCTCAGCCAGTGAGCGGGAACCGGTCTGTATGTGGGATCCGAACCCTCGGCGGGAGCGCCACCGCGCTCCCAAGTGGCGCACTGTAGCAGTGTGCCACCGGGCCGGCCCAAGACAGAGAGCTCTTTAAAGAGGACCTGGCCTGCCTGCTGACCCCCAGTCTTGGAGCCCTGTCTTCTCTTCCGTCCCTGGCTTGGCCCCTGCCCCTCCTCTGCTGGCATGTGGCCCTGGGATACCGACCTAAGCCACCGCAGCCACACACCTGAATAAGGCCTTCAAGTTCTCGGGCAACTCAGTGCGTCCAGCGTAGCCAGGATTCATGGTGATGAAGATGCCCACAGTGGGAATGAGACTTATCATCTCTCCAAGGAAGTTAAACGTTTTCTTCTTGGCCCGAATTGCATCTTGGACACACTTTACCTAAATGGTTGGTACACAGACATGTCAACAGGGAAATGACCAGCTTCGACGGGCCGGATGGGTCTTCGTTTCTGTTAAAGTCTGCGGCTGTGAATTTGCAGGGTGCTCTCCTGCTTTTCTCTTAATCAAGCTTTTAAATGTTGAGACTGTCATGGGTTCACATGCAGCTCTAAGCAATAATGTGGAAGTGGTCCTGTGTACCCACTACCCAGTGGCCCCCGGGGGAGCATCTTACATGACCATAGTGCACTATCACAGTCAAGGTCCTGATGTTGACACGTTTCCATCCCATGGGACCCTTCCTGTTGCCTTTTGTAGCCACGATACAGGAGGTGCTCAGTCTCCCTGGGCTCAGGTTTCAGGACATGCCTCTGGGTTTCCAGCCACTCCCTGAGGTCTCAGGTCCCCTCCTCTGAGCTCTCCCCTGGAGGAACCTTACTCTTACCAGTTAGACCTATTTCCAGCACCAACACTGGGAAAGTGAGACCACAGGGGGCTGCCTTACGTGATGCCAGTGGCTGGGCATGCTCAACAGAGAGCACAGACTGGGAACCACCCCCTTAACTAGGTAGTCACGAGACAGAGAAACTATAAAAGCCGAGTCCCGGCCAGGGCAGCTGCTGCGCACTTCCCCGGGCAGCCTGCACTTTGCTGGCTGAGGTGTGCATGTTTTACTTTGTGTCTGACTTACTCTCAGCAGCAGCTGCTCACTCTCCTGAGCCAGCCTGCACTCTGTACTGAACTTTAAATATGTTTTTCTGGCTTTTGTTTAGACTTGACGTCTGCACTGAACTTATTTTTGTGTTAAATTTGCGTGAGCCCTGCTCAGTCTCTGCAGCTGTGCTGCACTCTCTCCGTGGAACCTGTATTTCTTATCTATTTTATTAAACTTGTTCTCACTGTCTACTGTGACTCTGCCCTTGAATTCTGTCCCGTGGTGGAGTCAGGAACCTGGTGAGAGGACGGGGTGGGTTGAGGCGGACTGTCGGGCCCCCGACCCTCCCTCCGACATCAGACACGCCTACTTCCCTCCCTCCCCACCCTCTTCTTGACCCGGGCAACTGCTGAGCTGTGCTCCGTTTCTGTGATTTTGTCACTTCGTGACTGTGATGTCAGTGGAATCAGATAGTGTGGAGTCTTTGAGATGGACTTCTGTCACTCAGCAGCGTTCTCTGGAGATGCATCTGGGCTGTCACCACGTGTGTCCCACCTCCCAGCCTTTTTCCGTGTTCTGTTTCTGCTCTGGCAAAGACCCGTCGGAGGGCGGATTCGTAGCCATCTCCGTGCCAGGCGGTCTCTAAGACCATCTGTCTCTAACGAGGCTAAATCTGGAACTTCAAGGACCCTCCTTTTGCATTTGCGCCTTTGACCTTCTGCGGAAACCTGCAGACTTCGGCTGCAAATCTCCACATCACCGCTCAGGGGCGCCCGGCGCTCACGGTTCACCCCTTTCCCAAACACCGCATTTTCAAAGTCCTCCGCATTAGAGCAGAGTTCTGGCGTCTAGTTTTCCTGGACTTTGCTCTTGTGACTGGTCTGCAGAGTGTGCAGCTCGCCCTTGGGCAGGGCTGGGGCTGGGGCTGGGACACCTCAGAATTCTGCACGGCCTCCCCTCTGTGCCAGGACTCTCCTAACGAGTCCAAAAACATTCAGTCCCTAAAACGGGCTCTGCGTAAATATCCTGGGGGGTGGGACAGTAACTCTGCTAATGCTGGGGGCCGGGGAGAGGGTCCTCATGGCAGCCGGGATGATCCGGTGTGGAGGGAAGGTGACAGAGGAGGATCTGGCTGCCCATTCACCTCGAATCTGCCCGCAAGCCTGTGTTATCGACCCCATTTTACAGATTAGAAAACGGAAACACAGAGAGTTTAAGTTATTGCCAAGCAGAGTTGGGGAGTTAAGTTACAAACTTTGAGCCAGGCTCTCCCCCAGGCTACGGGTCTGAGTGGCACGCCGCCTCTGCACCTCATCTGTCTATTGTGGGGTGGGTGGAGGGGTCTCAGCACCATTTCCTTTTGGAATATCAAAGTTGATCCCTGACCTCGAGGTTGGCCTCAGTTTACCACAGAGAGCCCAGCGGTCCTCCCATCTAGCAGGCATCTGCACAACCTGAGGCTTTTGTTTAAAAGGCAGAAATGTTCATCCCAACATGTGGGGCGGGGCCAAGGCAGGTGATTTTAACAAGCGGTCTGGGGGATGCTGACACAGGGCTGCTCCCCCAGCCGAGAACCCGGCTCCCGCCTTGCACCATCAATTATTCCCTGATCTGTATTCAGTTACATCCATGCTATCATATCTGCTTCTTACTGTGTTCACTTCTGTGTGCCTAGCCAGACTGGGGGCCCCTGGAGGACAGGGCGGGGGTCACACCACCCCTCAGTGCCTGGAGTGTTGCACGCGGGCAAGGAGGGGCTATCTGGTGTATGAGATTATGGAAAAGCGAGAGGCCTGCAGTCAGCAAAGCAGCCAGTTATCCTACTTGACCCAGAGACTCGGCAGGGGCCCTACCTGCACAGCAATCACAGACAAGACTTCCACTGAGATTCGATTAAATTCGTCAAAGCAGCCCCAGGCTCCGGTCTGGGCCAGGCCCTTGTAGATGTTTCCACAGGACTGGAAAGGGCGAGATTGGAGAAGAGCGCATTAGACAAAGGAGGAGATGGGTGGGTCCGCCGGGAGCCTCCAAACAAAGGTCAGGCTCGGGGGCCTTTAGGGGCTTCAGAAGGCAAGCAGGCAGGACGGCTCACTCCCTAGAAGGGGTTAATACTGCAGAGGGCTGGGTGCCGCTTGACCCCCATGGCTCCCAGACCCTAGGATGGAGGCTTCATGGAGGTCCCCCAACCCAGGAGGCTCAGACAGGCACATTCACGTAAAATTCAAGCCTTGCATTTTTTTTAGCCCTTTTCTTTTTGTGCACACAAAGGAGGGGGCGTCCCTCCAAGGCAGAGGCAGGGGGCGGCAAGCACTTCAAGCACTTGGATGTCTTCTCTAGATGTCTGTGTCACTCCAGGCCCCAGCTGGATGGGTAATCAGGACAATTCTTCAACATTTACATATGGGATTCCAGGCGAATATTAAATTTCTTCTAGGGAGAATCCAACTTCAGGTTTCACTTTTCTAAAATCTAGGAGCCTGGTGTGGACTGTCGTCAGCCCCAGGGGCTCTCCCAGAGGCTCAGATACAGAGGGTGGGGGAGGCCCTCTGCAGGCCCAGGGTCCTGAGCTCAGTGGGCACCCCATCTGCCTCCACCTACCCCTCCTGCAAGAGGCTGCTTTGGCCTGGACTACCAAGGCATCTCCTCTCCTGTCGGGCCCTTTAGGGACTGACACCACCCTACAAAGTCTCCAATGACCCACGGGACCGGGCCCATCTCCTGATCCCCTCCCAAGCCCACCTGTACCATGCTTTTACCCAACATCCCATGCTGAGCTAGGAAGGAGGGGCTCGCCGCTGTCCGGAGGCCCCAGTTGCTGGGCAATCTTGGAAATGAGGTTGGAAAGGGTGACCAGCAGGGGTGGGGGCAGGATATTTGGGACTGGGTTTGTCCACCCTGGGAGCCTCTTCAGACAAGCCGGCTGCAGGGGATGCCCTGGCGCCTTCTCCCCGGGGTTCCGGTTTGCAGGCGTCCCAGGCCTCTAGCTTGAATGTGGCACCTCCAGGCCTCGGCCACGTACCTTGTAGTCCATTTGCTCGGAACAGTTGAAGACGTACACCATGGTGCCCAGGGCTCTGCCCAGGTCCTTGGTCGTCTCTGTCTTGCCAGTCCCGGCGGGGCCCGCGGGGGCTCCGCCCATGATCAGATGGAGGGACTGGGTCAGGGTGATGTAGCATCTGTAAGGGACACTGATTATCTCATGTGCCTGTGACCCCACGGCCTCCCCACCTGCTCTTTCATTGTGGTGGCAGTTAACTGTGTTACTATCACACAAAAGGAGAGGGCAGGAAGGACTTGAGATGTGGTCAAGCACTGTCCTGCTTTCCCAGCTGTGGCATTTGGGGAGGTGTGCACTGCTAGCAAAACAGCAACAGTCATGACAATGACACCCGCACTTGTTGAGGGTTTACTTGGAGCAGCTTCTGGCCTAAGTGCTTTTTGTTGTTAAATAATTCACTCAGTTCTCAGCAAACTCACGAGGACTCATAAAACATTACTCCTGCTTCGCAGGCTCTCAGAGAGCTTCAGTGACTCCCCCAAGGCCACACGGTTAGTGTCAGAAAAGGACACGGAGCCCGAGGCTGAGCACCTCGCAGGTGGCAGGACCGAATCTGAACGCAGGTCCGCCCGCCCCAGGTGCCGGGTCCTTCCAGCCTCAGCTGACGTTCCAGTCTGACCACGCAAAAATGTGCATAAGGGGCCCACGGGAGCATGTGAACCGTTTAGGGACAGGCCTCCCAGGCGGTAGGTGCGCGCTCACCGGTCAGTGAGCGGGGTGATGACCAGCCGCGGCGTGTTGCCCAGATACTCGTAGCAGTACTGGATCTGGGCGTCGCAGATGTTGGCAAAGCAGTGCCTCTTCTCTTCGTCCCAGCGGTGCCGCAGCTGGGACTGCCAGGTGAAGGCCTGGGCGCTCTCCACCTGCAGGGCAGCCGCAGCACCTTGCATGGGCCAAGCAGAACGCAGGAGCCAGACCCAGCCCAGGAGGGACCCCCCCCCGGCCCTTTTTCCTCCTCCAGCGCCCACAGTCAACCGAATCGCTGCCCCAGGTGAATCTCACTAAAGAACAGGCCCTTCCAGGTGAGCTGGGTGCACACCAGGGAGAGTCCAAGAGAGGGATTGGGGGGAAGTGGGGAGGCCACAATCAAGTCACTGGCCCAGGAAGAGAAAATGGCAGGGGGTGGAGTACTTGAACGTCCCCCCACCCCCNGGGGACAGCAGGCGCTCGTGCCTTGGCAGTGATCATCTTGGCCACCACGTCCCGTGCGTGCACGTCGATGGTGCAGATGGTCATGATCTTCATCCTGTCGCCAGCACTGAGGTTCCCGATGAGCAGCGTGATGAGCGCATTCAGCTGGCTGATCTGTGGGAGGAGGGGCACCCTCCTGAGACACGCGGGGCACGGGGCTGTGGGTCCTCAGGGACATCTCATTAACATGACGAAAAACAGAAAAAAGTTCCAGTCTCCCCCAACTGGGGGTGGGGGTAGCCATAGTAACAGCCCCAGGATGGCATATCGTGGGGCCTCTAACGAGGACACAGTAGAAGAAAATTCAATGCCACAGGGAGAGAGTGCACATGAAGAAAAAGAGCTGATTTTAAAAGGTACAGAGAGTTTGTATATTTTTACATACTGATCAGTTACAAGGGTACTTCAATTTTTTCCACCAACTTAAAAAGAAACTTTCTTTGGCAGCTGGCAGGTAAGGGGACCCAGACCCTTGACCTTGATGTTGGTGGCACCGTGCTCTCATCAAGCCAGCTCACTGGCCAGCACGTCCAGCAACCTTTTAAAGTACCCACACGTAGGCACACGAAAGATCAGAAGGGGCTGGAGGGCTAGAGCCGGGTGACGACATGAGGGTCAAGGGTTGGGAGGATCCCCTCACCTGTAGCTGAACGCTAGACCCAGCTCCATGGTCCACCAAAAACAATTCTTTAATTAATAAGTAAATAAAAAGATAAGAAGGCTACATAGGAAAATGTTGGCCATGGTTAAATCTGAGTGGTGAGGTTATGGGTAACTTTTCCTTCCTTTATTTTAAAAATGAACTTTAGTTTCTAAATTTCTAACCAAGAATCTTTAAAAGAAAAAAAGAAAAGACTGTGGTAGGCTTTAATGATTTCCAGACACGAAATTCAAGTTGTGTATTTCTGAAGTTGTTACTCTTGGATAGGGCCACCCAGGGCTGCCAAAATTTGATGGCTTGTGGCCTACAGAAATCACGATTTCATAAGGTTCAACCTCAGAGAGGACGATGGTCCTGGTGATGGCTTGTCTGTGTTGCAGAAGGACCCTCGGGACCACACACCTGTTTTTTGTTGTAATCCTTGATAGCGTTTTCGTATCCTTCCTCCAGCCTGGCGAACGCCAGGCCCACCTCGGTGGTCCACCAGATCTGAGTGCAGGTCAGCGCAATCTGAAAACAGACCCCCCCAGCAATTCATACCGCTAATAAAAAAAAAGTTCATCCTGATGAGTTGAACTGTTTTCCCATGGACATGGTGAATGAAGGGACCATAGGAACACCGCCCCTCACCCCCTGCACATCACAGCCGTAGGTCACCAACCCGCCCATCCACGCAGGCCTCCCACCTGGGCGGGGTAATCAAAGATCCACTGCTCCCTCGGCTTTTCCTCATAGGTCACCACGGCTTCTGGAATTTCATGTCGGAGGGTGGCGCACATTCGGTCCAACAGTCGATTCAGCCAGACTTCCACCTGGGGACAGAGGGATGTTGGCCACACAGGGCCATGAGCACATCTAGTTCCAATGCTTGCTTTGTTGTCAAGAAAAAAAGTCTACTATTTGCCATCATCATCATCCCAGATGTAGAAATTTCAAGGTTTTTATGGAGCAGTAAAAAAAACCCACTTTAAAAAATGTGGTTGGGAAGCCCTTGCTAGGCCCAGGCGAAACTTGCTCTATGAAGCATTCAGGTGCACACATTCTACTTCTAAGCAAGAGAAGGGAGGGGATCCAGAGAAATGTCTAAAAGAGAAAGTGAACTAAGCCTGCACTCCTGAGTTGTTGCTGATGTCCTGACATGTAGCATCTGGGTCCCCTCGTGTGCACGGCAGGTTCGGACCAGCGGTCCCTCCACCAGCTCATCCAGTGACGGCTGGACAGTGAAGCGCATAGACAGGACTGAGCTATCAACAAGTCTTTGTATTTTAAAATACAAACCCTCCACTAACCGCTACCAGGAGAGAGAAAAAAAAAAAAGAAACCTCGAAAAAGATAAAGGGGTAGATTTTTCTTTTCAGCTGTAAATGTGAGGGGCAAGTTCCAGAAGCAAATCTGAACAAACTCGGATTAATGGATCTTTGTTTCCACCCCTGCCCGACTCCATCCACGTGGAGCCAACCAGTCCCGTGCTGCAAGTTCACCGTTTGGAAGCTCAGGTCTCAGGGCGTGTGGCCCCTCCAAATGCTGCACTGTCACCCGGTTCATTGGTGACATGCCCTCACTCACTCACCTGTCCTGAT